TCTACAGTGACAGGGTGCAGTTCAGTGTTGCTTGAGGAGAGGGTGAAAGAGGAGAAGGAGAGAAGGGTGACAAAGGGACAGGAGGAAACATTTGGGGTGATGGCTATGTACATTGTAGTGATGGTTTCATAGGTGTATACATATACCAAAATTAATCAAACTGTGCACCTTAAATATGTGCAGTTTATTGTATATCAACTATACCTCAATACAACTTTTTAAAAAATGCCATGACTTCCAGCAAAGATGGATTGGATTTACTCTCTTGATTCAAGCAACTAAAAAGCTAGGCAAATATATAAAACAATGGTTTGAGACACTGGACACCACAACAGGCAGCATAGAAGAGTGAGCTTCAGAGAGAGGAAATGAAGGCAGTGGGCCCAGTGCTTCGGCTCACTGTATGGAAAGATTTTTCAGGCCTCAGCAGAGAGAGAGAAAAGCCCTTGGTCTTTATGAGATGAAACGGCAGAGTTTGGAGATGAAGGAGGTCAAGGCTGATAGACGTGAAGGGAGAAAATACTGGAGAAGAGGGAGCTGAAGGGAGAGCTGTGGAGGTCTGCAGAGGGTTCCTTTTGAGGCGACCGCTAAGTTCTGCTCTGTGCACACATGTAAGGAAAGGAGAAGACCTCCTGGCATGCAGCAGGTGAACGACCCCTGGAACTCACCCAGGCCTGAGAAGAGTTCATGTGCCCACCAGCCACCATGGATTAACCACCTAACGGTGGCCCTCGGAGCAGAGTCCTCAGAAGGGGACTGCCTCAGGAGTGGGGCCAAGTGAGCCTGAGGTTAAAGGCTGTTTTGGACTCACACCAATAAAGCTTAAAAGCAAGCTTTGAAAAGGAGCAAACTGATTCCAAGAAACTTGGAATGTTGGATATGTCCTAGGACAAAGCCAAAAAATATCAAAAGGAAGAAAGGCTTCAGCATCCTACACTGTAATATTCACAACTGTCAAATATATGTGTGTGTGTGTGTGTGTGTGTGTGTGTGTGTATCACAAAGCCAAACCAGGAGAAACATCAATAATAGAAACAGCTAGACATGACACAGAAGATAGCAAAGGTAAGAAAAAAAAATCAGAAGGGAAATCACAACATATTTTAAAACACATAAAAATATATCAAATTTATTCCATGCAGCTAAAGCAGTACTTAAAGGTAAATTTAGAGCACTGAACTCATTTTATGAAATAAAAGTTTAAACATCAATGACTGGTATGGGAGGGTATGACTGAAAAGGAATAACTTGAGGGAATTTGTGGTTGATGACACTGTAACACAGTAATTATAGTGGTGCTCACACAAATCCATACATGTACTAAAATTCATAAAACTACACACAGAAAGTTAATTTTACTGTATGTTAATTTAAAAAAGTAAAATAAAATAAATTAGCTTAAAAATCAATGATTAACCTTCCATCTTAAGAAACAACAAAGAGTAAATAAAATCTGAAGTAAGGAGCTGAAGGTAAGAAACAAATATAAGAACAGAAATTAGTGCAATAAGAAACAGAAAAACAATACAGAAAAATCAGTAAAACTAAAAGAAAGTTCTTTAAAAATTTCAATAAAATTAATATAAAACTGATAAATCTCTAGCCAAATTGATCAGAAAAAAAATGAAGACCTAAATTATTAATGCCATGAATCAGAAAGGGGCTATCATTACAGATCCTACAGAAATTAAAAGTAAATAAAAACTATATATATAATGGCCCTAGCTGGCTTGGCTCAGTGGATAGAGTGTCAGCCTGCAGACTAAAGGGTCCCAGGTTCGATTCCGGTCAAGAGCACATGCCTGGGTTGCGGGCTCAATCTCCAGTAGTGGGTGTGTAGGAGGCAGCCGATCAATGATTCTCTCTCATCATTGATGTTTCTATCTCTCTCTCCTTCTCCCTTCCTCTCTGAAATTAATAAAGATATATATATTTTTAAAAAGTTAAAAATAATAATGAACAAGTGTATGTCAACAAACTTGACAGTGTAGATGAAACGAGAAATTCCTTAAAAGACATGAGCTATGAAAACTCACTCAAGAAGAAACAGATAAGCTTTAATAGCTCTATATCTACTAAAGAAACTGAGTAGTTAAAAACTTTTCCTCAAAGGAAACCCCAGGCCCAAAGGGCTTCACTGCTGAATTCTACCAAACCAGGGGTCCTCAAACTTTTTAAACAGGGGGCCAGTTCACTGTCCCTCAGACCATTGGAGGGCCGGACTATAGTTTAAAAAAAAACTATGAACAAATTCCTATGCACAGTGCACATATCTTATTTTGAAGTAAAAAAACAAAACGGGAACAAATACAATATTTGTATTTGCATGTGGCCCGCGGGCCGTAGTTTGAGGACCCCTGTACCAAACAGTTAAGGAAGAAATAATACCACTTCTACAAAAACTCTTCCAGAAAATTCAGGAGGAGGGAATACTTCCAATTCATTCCATAAAATGAGCATATCTCTGAGAGTAAAGAAGAGAATTACAAGAAGATCACAGACCAATATCACTCATGCACATAGATGTAAAAATCCTTAGCCAAATTTTAGCAAATTGAATCCAATAATGTGAAAAATGTGCCTGCCACATTAGCTGGTACTAACCCAGAGTGCGTATCACTTGAAGGGATCATAGAAAACCTCCTGGAGAAGGTGACTTCTGAGAGGACATTTGACAGGCAAGCAAAATGTTAATAGGTGGTGGTGATAGGATAGAGAAAATGGTAGGAAAAAAACACAAAGAAATACAAGAAGGTGGCCAACTAGCCAGAAACAGGTAGGGATACTGGCATTGACTGGGGAGGCTGCCAGGCTTTCAAAGAGCTCCTTTCTCTGGGAATAGTCCCAGACACAGGCTTATCCCACGGGGCTAAGTCTGTGCTGTGTTCCCCTGCCCCCTGGCCATATCTGACTGTTCCGGAGTTAGATACTACCTAGCTGGAACAATCAGACTCTTGCCCAAGAATCTGGAACTTGAATGGAGGCAAACTCTCAGCCTGGGATTTGCTGGGGCCACATCAGGATCTACCTTGAGAGAAGTCCTCAGAGCAGGTCGGTTCCTGCCCTTCCCTCAGCTTTTCAGCAACTTCTTGGACCCTATGAGCTGCCCATGGGGCCTTCCCTTTTAGTTAGATTAATGAGAGATGGCTTCTGTTGCTTATAATCAAAAGAACATTCAAGAGTTCAGTGAGCATAACAGCAAGTTTATCTGTATGAAAGAGTTATGTCACTACATAAAAATGTTAACCTCTGGGCCAGAGCCAAGGGTCTGTGAAGGAAGTCAGGGGAATCACATGAAGTTGGAATGATGGGTGAGTGTGGACACTGTAAATGACAGGGACAGAAGGGTGAAGTTTAAGGGAAAGAAAAAGGCACTAAAGGTTTCTGACCAGGGGAAGGACATGGTCAACAGTCTTACAGAGGACTACCTCGCAGTGCCATGGAGGATGGATTATAAAAAACGTATGACCCCGTGGGAAGGCTGTGATAACAGCCACTGGAATGATGTGCCCAGACTGCTCTTGCTCTTATGTCTTTGGCTCTCACCTCCAGCATCTAGCTTAGAGCCACATACTGAGTCACACTGAGTTAAACTCTGCTGGTCAAACAGACTGAAGAAAGCATTGACAAAACTTAATGGCTAAATGCTGGGATCCAAGGAGGGAAGGAGCTAAAAAGGTCATGGCAGTCTCAACCTTGGTTGGCAATTTCAACTAAACCGGAATGGCAGGAGGTATGATGAGGTGAGGGTATATTTATGAGGATGAGTATTGTATAGACAGATTGTTTCAAGGTGTTGCTAAAACACCTAGGGAGAGTGTCCAGGATGCAACTGGCAGGAGTTCAGTCTCTTGGAGGTCTGTTTACCCCCAGTAACTGAGGGCTTCTGTGTGCCAGGCACCAAGCCAGGAGCTAATGGGGATCGCAAAGCCATGGGAGTGAATAAGACTGTGGAGGGAGAGGAGCATCATTGGTCAGTCCTGTCTATAGAGGGAAAAGGCTGGAAATAGTTTCAGTGCCATTCAATTAGGGAATGGCAGAATAAATGGTGGCACAGACATGTGATTAAAAAAAACAGGGCAATTCTATAGGGAGGTGAAATGATGTACTGATGCACGTTATATTGAGAGCTTTCTAAATGTCTCTAGCCATAGGCTTAGTAAAACCCACCTCCACTTACTTCCCAATAAGCTCAAGAAAAACCTACTAAAACATCCCTTGATGCAAAGTCTCCTCTATGCCAAGCCCAGTCGTGGCAGGAGCCAGAGGAATATCCTTGATTTCTTCTTGGAAGCGGTTCCGATGTGGATGTTTCAGAACTTGCTCTGTCAAGCCAGATGGGGCACTCACCAGGCTGTTCCCAGGGAGGAAGTGAATGAATGAACCCTAATCAAATCAGTCAGCTCTGCGGGAGTCTGATCCTGACCACTCAGCCTCAACAGGGGAAGCAGGAGAACCACACCTTTCTTCAGAAAGGAAACCTACACTTCCACACAATCCACCTAGAGTCTATTTTAGCTCAGAACCCAGAATGAGAACATCAACTATTATAAATAGCAAAACCAAGATTACACTTTGACTAATTTCAGTTCTGATGCTAGGAAAGAAGTCGGACACTAAGGCAGTTGTAAAGCAAGGGGTCGAAAGAAAACCACGGTGTGAAGACAGTGTCTGGGTCAGACAGTCACACCTGAATCATCCCCC